CTCTTTTAGTTTGTTTTTTGTTTTTGCCAGTCCGGGGGCTTGAACTCAGGGGCTGGATACTGTCCCTGAGCTTCTTTTGCTCAAGACTAGCACTCTACCTCTTGAGCCACAGTACCACTTCTGGCTTTTTCTGTGTGTATGGTCCTGAGGAATTGAACCCTGGGCTTCATCAATGCTAGGAAAGCACTCTACCACTAAGCCACATTCCCAGCCCTTAGTTCTTTATATACCTATTGTCTTAAAATTTGAAGAAATAAGCAAAATTCAAATGATTTTATGACACCTTTGAGGAATGGGCCCCAGAATATAGATCTCATTAGAGGAAAGGACTAGTATGTGTCCCCTTTAATTCCCCTCCCCCCACCCCAGTCATAGGGCTTGAACTTGGGGCTTGGGTGCTGTCCCTGAGCTGTTTTGCTCAAGGCTAGTACTCTACCACTTTGAACCACAGTTCTATGCTGTACCACCTTGAACCACAGTTCCACATCTGGTTTTCTGGTGGTTAATTGGAGGTAAGAGTCTCACAGACTTTCCTGCCTGGGCTGGCTTCAGACTGTGATCCTCAAATCTTAACCTTCTATATAGCAACGATTATAGGTGTGAGCCACCAGGCCAACTTCCCTTTGTTATTCCTAGACATAAACCACAATTGTTACCTACTACCATCAGTTATTTAACATTCTCTCACTGTGCCAGAATACCCGAGATTGTTTATGGCTATAATCCTAGCTACTCAGGAGGTTGAGATCTAAAAATCATGGTTCAAAGCCAGCTCAGGCAGTAAAGTTTATGAGACTCTAATAAACCGCCAGAAAGTGAAACTGGCTGGTTAGTGGTTTTGTTAATGGGTACATTGAAAATATGTGGAGATATTGTCCTGCCTGATGAGACCTAAGTTGAGATCTGGAGCTGGAAGGGGATAATGCCTATTATCTCATTTCTCTAGCAACCATATCATCATCACCCAGATACCCCCACCCCCCACTTTGCTGCTTTTGAAATAGGTCTGGCCTTGATCTCAGGGTGGCATTGAAGTTGTGACTGGGCCTCCAAGCCTGGTTTATATGACCTCATTTTACACATCAGGTCCTGTGGAAGCGACGTTGTTTGGGCTACATAGTAAGTCGGGCTGGATCCAGAGGTCCAGCTCTAACCATTGCCTTCCTGTGGAGCAGGGGCAGCTGTTGTAAACAGTTGCAGCACAGAGATCCTGGTATTGAAAGAATTCATGGAGAGCCTATGTTTAGAGAAAGGAGTGTAAAAAGACTACCCGAAAGATTTGGAGGCTGTTCTTTGCTGAGTTAGCTTCTGGTTGGTGGGCTTTCCAGAGGGAAGGTGTGATTTGGCAGTGTTTAGATGCCGTGACTCCTGGCCTGATTGTCTGTCCTATCCCACAGCTGTTTTTTGAGGACAGTATTGATGATGCCAAGTACTGTGGGCGGCTGTATGGTCTTGGCACGGGTGTGGCCCAGAAGCAGAACGACGATTCGGACTCTGCTCAGGAGAAGATGAGCATCCTGGCAATCATCAACAACATGCAGCAGTGATGGCTGCAGTGCTACCCTGCAAGGGTGGGCCTGTCCCCGAATGGTGCTTCCTGTACTGACTCTTACCTTCCCCAAGAGAAACGCTTCTTTTGAGCAAACTATACCTACCATCTGCACTGAGCAGAAAGACTTTTGTTTTATTGAAGACAAAGATGTCTTTATTTTAGATCCAGAAGAGGGGAACTTGCTCTGAATTTGTAAATAGTTCGTCCTCATTCCTCACCCCATGCCGCTTCTCTCTGGTTGCCTCCTGCCACCAGCATCCGCAGCTCACTGACACCTTTTTATATACCCAAGACAAGTCCGAAACAAACTAGTAAAATGTATAGAACTCTTATTTGTTGTCATTCTTTTTTCTTTTTTAACTTTGTTGCTAATCTCTGATGAAGATTCTGATTCTCAGCTAAGCTGAGGGCTTCTAGGGAAAATGGCATAGAACTATGTTCTCAGGAAGCGAGTTACAGAAATTGAGTCTTTGCCTTTCCTCTTCTGTCACTTCCCAAAGACATTTGTTTTTTTTTCTCACACTTCGGTAGTCTGTCTTTATGGAAATGAATTGCTTCTATACTGATGCATAAAGACAGTTCTACTGAATCTGTCTGTCCTTCATTTGTGGCCAACTCCAGAATGGGTATTAAGGTGAATGAAGCATCTTAATATCTGAGCTCCAAGGTGCCACTATTTGCTGTTGCTTATGTATCATCTGAAGTCATTTAAAGCTGTCAAACAATAAAATAGCCTGGGCTTGATCCTGAAGGAAATGAATAAGCTCAAACTTTGGGGTGTTAAGCTTGTAATTTTTCAGTTATGTGATGTCAGAGGTAAGTGGCATTCTCCCAGCACGTCTCCCTTTTCCCTGCCTTTCTGAAAGTCCAGCAAATCTGAGAAAATAGGGGGATGGATGAATGAATGCATCAGGAATGGGAGCCCAGAAAAGCTAGTTACTTGTAAAAGGCAAACAGTCATTTGGTTTTGAGAGATCTCTTGGAGTCATTAATATCCCACACTGGGGTAGGAAGCTCAGGACTTTGTTTTATTAAGAACTAGTCATTTCAAAAGTAAATGGCTACTGAATGGACAAATTTGACAAATACTCTTTGGAGTGGTAGAAAAATGGTGACTCACTGAAGCGAATGACTTGTCTTGCAATTTTAAAAGCTTATGGAAAACTTAATTTGAAGTGATTAAAAAATGTCAAGTATTATCAGCTGATATTTGAAATGCTTGTAAATGTTATTTATGTTTTTAATTTTGTAAATAAAGATTTCTTTTTAACCACTGGCATAAAGATTTGGTATTTCCTGGCTGTGAATTGATGGCTCTGGAAAGTGGTGTGGTTCAGGTCTCCATTGTCACATTGGAACATGCAGGGAACTTTCTTTTTTAGGTCTAAGTCTGGGATTTGAGTTCAGTACTTGTTGCTTTAGCTCATTGGCTAGCACTCTATCAACTGAGTTAAGTCTCCAACTTTGGTAGGGAACTTTTAATGAACCCTTGAGTAAGTGTACTTCTTTCTTTGAAAGAAAGCAGTTTGCATTTTATTATTTGGGCCTATTTATCATGTATTTATGGATTAACTTGGTGTAATTCTTTAGGACAAATTGAATTTCGGCTTAGATTTGGCTTAAGACTTCACTTCTAGTCATTCATTCTACCATTCTTTTTCTTTTTTTTTTGTCGGTCGTGGGACTTGAACTCTGGGCCTGGGCGCTGTCCCTCAGCTCTTCAGCTCAAGGCGAGCGCTCTGCCACTTGAGCTACAGTGCCACTTCCGGTTTTCTGGTGGTTTATTGGAGATAGGAGTCTCATGGTCTCTCCTGCCCGGGCTGACTTTGAACCACGATCCTCAGATCTCAGCCTCTTGAGTAGCTAGGATTACAGGCGTGAGCCACCAGCGCCCGGCTCATTCTACCATTCTTGTGCAGTCCTGGAGCTTGAGCTGAGGGTCTGGATGCTGTCTCTGAGCTGCTTTTTGTTTAAGGGTAGTGCTCTACCACTTGAGCTATAGCTCCACTTTTGGATTTTTGGTGGTTTGCTGGAGATGAGAGTTGTAGACTTTGTTTCCTGGGCTGGCTTTGAACTGTGATTCTCAGATCTCAGCCTCTGGAATAGCTAGGATTACCCACATGGGCCACTGCATCCAGTTAATATCTTTGTGCCAGTACTGGGGGCTTGGATGGCCACTCTTACCATTTGAGCGAAAGCTCAGTCTGACTTTTTTTGGCCAGTCCTGGGGTTTGAACTCAGGGCCTGGGCACTGTCCCTAAGCTTCTTTTTTGCTCCAGACTAGTGCTCTACCACTTAAGCCACAGTGTCATTTCTAGCTTTTTCTCTTTATGAAGAATTGAACCCAGGGCTTCATGCATGGTAGGCAAACATTCTTACCACTAAGCCATTTTTTTCTTTTTTTAAAAAATTATTTTTTAAAATTTTGGTTGGTTCTGGGGCCCGAACTCTGGGCCTGGGTGCTGCCCCTCAGCTCTTCAGCTCAAGGTTAGCACTCTACCACTTGAGCCACAGCACCACTTCCAGCTTTTTCTGCTTACGTGGTGCTGAGGAATCGAACCCAGGGCCTCATGCATGCAAGGCAAGCGCTCTACCACTGAGCCACCTTCCCAGCCCCATAAGCCATTTTTTTCTTTTTCATTTTTCTTTTTGGCCCATTGTGGGGCTTGAACTTGGCCTGGGTACTGTCCCTGAGCATTTCAGCTCAAGGCAAGCATTCAACTATTTGAGTCACAGCGCCACTTAAGAGTTTTCTGGTGGTTTATTGGAGATGAATCTCACGGACTTTCCAGCCCGGGCTGGCTTTGAACTGTGATCCTCAGATCTCAGTCTACTGAGTAGCTAAGATTACAGGCATGAACTACCAGTGCCTGGCTTGTGTCTGGCTTCTTGATGGTTGACAGGAAATAAGTTTCGGGAATTTTTCTGCCCATGGTAGCTTTAAATCACTATTCTCAGACCTGAGTCTCCCGAGTAGCTAGGATTATGGGTGTGAGCAGCCAGCACCCAGCTTGGCTTTTTCTTTTAAATAAAACCTAAGGCTGTAAGGTACAGAAGTTGATCAGTAGTTTACTTTTTTTTGGAGGGGGTGGAGCACGATCCTTGTATGGCTCCAACTTGGCCTGGATACTGTCCCTGAGCTATTTTTGCTCATTAATAGCATTGTACCACTTGAGCCATAGCACCACTTTCAGATTTTTAGTGGTAGTTGGAGATTAGTCTCATAGTTTCCTGTCCAGGCTGGCTTTGAACCATAATCCTCAGATCTTAGCCTCCTGAGTAGGTAGGATTATAGGTGTGAGCCACCAGCACCTGGCTTAATTTACATTTTTAAAAAGGTTCTAGCTGGGCATGGGTAGCTCACACCTGTAATCCTAGCTACTCAGGAGGCTGAGATCTAAGGATTGTGGTTTGAAGCCAGGCAATTCAGAAAAGTTATCTCCAAAAATCATTCTGAAAAAGCCTGAAAGGGGGTTGTGGGGAGGAGTTGGGAAGGGAAGGGATGTGGAGAAACAAAAGAGGAGGTAACAATGCTTGTCAGTTGTGGGGCTTGGGTGTTGTCCCTTCTTTTTGTGCTCTACCACTTGAGCTACAACTCCACTTCGGTTTTTGGTGGTTAATTGGTGGTAAGTCTCATGGCATGGACTATCCTGCTCGGGCTGGCTTTGAACTGTGATTCTCAGATCTCAGCCTTCTGAGTAGCTAGGCATGAGCCACCAGTGCCCAACTCAGGAAGTATTTTCTTATTTAATTTTTTTTCTTTTTTTTTTTTAGAGATGTAATGCTTTATTTTTTTTTGGGTCCAGTCGTGGGGCCTGAACTCTGGGCCTGGGTGCTGTCCCTCAGCTCTTCAGCTCAAGGCTAGCACTCTACCACTTGAGCCACAGTGCCACTTCCGGCTTTTTTCTTTTTGCTTATGTGGTGCTGAGGAATCGAACCCAGGGCCTCAGGCATGCAAGGCAAGCGCTCTACCACTGAGCCACCTTCCCAGCCCTTTCTTATTTAATTTTTATTAAGCACTCACATAAGTAGGTGCTAGAGAACAATAAATAGAAGTCCCGTCCCCATCTACAGTGAGTTTACAATCTGGTGTATATGTGTGTGTGTTTTTCAGTTCCAGACCAGGAGAACTTGGTGCCTGATGCTTTTGCTCATTGGCTAGCACTCTACCAACTGAGCCATGCTCCAAGTCCTACCTGTAATAATACAAATACAACTTGAACTAAGGTTAAGCTACAGTATATATTTGTGTGTATGTGTATATGCTGGTATTGGGGCTTGAACGCAGAGCCTGGGCACTGTCCCTTAGCTTTTTTTTTTTTTTTTTTGCAAAATGCTGGTGCTCTATCACTTGAGCCATAACTTCTGGCTTTTTTTTTTTTTGTCTGAGACCAGGATGCGAACTTGGTACCTGATGCTTTTGCTCACTGGCTAGCACTCTACTGAGCCATATCTCCAACCCCTCCCCGCCCCTTTCTGGCTTTTTGGTGGTTAATTAGCAATAAGAATGGGGTAGGGTGGGAAGGTGGTAGAATGTTTGCCTGGCATGCATGAGGCCCTGGGTTCGATTCTTCAGCACCACAGAAGCGCGCACACACACACACACACACACACACACACACAGAGAAGGGAATTAAACTGGACTTACACCTAGTCACTGTCAGGTGGAGAATGGGAAATTAGGAATGATTAGCTCCAGAGACATACTGGGAACTGGACTAGACATACTGGACTAGTCATGGGGGTAACTAATTGGTGAAGTGGTGGTTTGTATTTTTTTTTTTTTGTCCCTGTCCTGGGGCTTGACAAACTCTGAGCCTCAAACTTTTGTGCTCAAGGCTATCATGCTACCATTTGAGCTACAGCTACACTTCAAGCTTTTTGGTTAATTGGAGACAAGAGTCTCACAATTTTTCTGCTCAAGCTGTCTTTGAATGTGATCTTCAAATCCCAGTATCTGGCGGATTGGTTAATGAAATGGTAGTTTTGACAACTGTGAGGTTAGGGAAGAGAGATATTTCTTTGGATATGGTTCAAGGGTAACTTCCTTTTTGTTCAGAAACCCCAAATGAACTCCTTTGGTACTCTGGTTCTTTGTTTCTGATAATTAGGGAGTTGAAACAACTCAAGTTAATTATACAGTCGTGCAAAAAGGCAATTATGAGGAAAGTGAGCTGTTACTTTGGTTATTCTGTGATTGGGTATTTGCTGCCGTTTTTAAGTAGCTCTTGGTTTTATTTCAGCATGAGCTAAAATGCACATACTAATCTGCTGATAAACAGGTTTAATAAATTATGAAGAACTACTGGGCTGGGAATGTGGCTAAATGGTAGAATGCTTGCCTAGCATGCATCAAGCCCTGGGTTCTATTGCTCAGTACCATATAAACGGAAAAAGCTGTTAAGTGGTGGTAAAGCACTAGCCTTGAACAAAAGAAGTTTAGGGACAGTGCCCAGGCCCTGAGTTCAAGCTCCATGACTTTTCTAGATATAGTCTTAAGTTTTGGGGTTAGGGCTGGCCTTGAACTATGATCCTCCTAACTCTGCTTCCAGAGTAGCTAGGATTACAGATCTAGACCACCATACTGTTGTCCTATACCACTTGAGCCACTTGCAGCAATACTTCTTGTGGTTGAATGGGAGATGTTCTATCTGGGCTGGCCTTGAGCCACAATCCTCCAGATCTCAGCCTCTTGAGTAGCTAGAATGAGCCACTGGCACCCAGCCCCCAACATTTTTTTTTTTGTTGGTAGTGGGCCTTGAACTCTGGGCCTGAGCCTTGTCCCTCAGCTCTTCAGCTCAAGGCTAGCGTTCTACCACTTGAATTACAGCTCCACTTCTGGTTTTCTGGTGGTTTATTGGAGATAAAAAGTTTCACGGACTTTCCTGTGGGGGCTGGCTTTGAACCACGATCCTCAGATCTCAGCCTCCTGAGTAGCTAGGATTACAGGCGTGAGCCCCCAGCGCCCGGCTAGCCACCAACATTTTTTAAAGACAGTCTTACCCTATATTACAGGCCTCCTGAGAGTTAGAGTAATAGGTGTGGCCTGCCATGCCCAGCGCAACACTGTTCTTTATTCAAAATGGAAAGGTTCCCCCCCACATTTCTTTTTTTTGTTGGTTGTGGGGCCTGGCCACTGTCCCTCAGCTCTTCAGATCAAAGCTAGGACTCTCCCACTTAAGCCAGAGCTCCACTTCTGGCTTTTTCTGCTTATGTGGTGCTGAGGAATCGAACCCAGGGCCTCATGCATGCAAGACAAGCACTCTACCACTGAGCCACCTTCCCAGCCTTCTTCCATCCCATTCCTTAAGTTTCATTTTAGTAGGTTACATTGCTCTCTAGTTTTCAATTTAACCACATGTCCATTTGCATTTTTGCATCTTTGCCATCAAGAAGATTCTCTAAACTGGATGTGGTGGCCCATGCTTATAATCCTAGCTACTTGATAATCCTCTTCCTAAAGTTCACCTAACTGTAGATTTAGTATTTTACAAGATTTCATTTTTTGAGGATCCGCATTTTTAAAATTCGAAAGTTAGACATACAGATGTCTTTGAAAATTGTTTCTCAAGATTTGTTTTTCCTGGGGGAGTTTCTGTTAATGAGTTTCAATGTTGCTGCCAACAATAGCCCCCAAACCTTAGGATGTAAATGAAAAACAGAAGTTCAAGAAAAGCTTTCATAATAAACTCAAAATCCGTCTGAAGATGGCTCACACCTGTGATCCTAAGCTGTTAAGGAGGCTGAGGATCATGATCTGAAGCCATCCTGGGCAGGAAAGTCCAAATAATTCATATCTTTAATTAACCATGAAAACATGAAGTGGGGCTGTTGCTCAAGTGGTAGAGCGCCAATCGAGTAGAAAAGCTAATCAGGACTCACTTGCCCATGCCTGTAATCCTAGCTACTCAGGAGGCTGAAAATCTGAGAAAAACAGCTTTAAGTCAGCCCAGGCAAAAAAGACCATGAGACTCATCTCCAATAAACTACCAAAAAAGCTTTAGCAAAAAAACTACCGAAAAACCTTGAGCAAAAAGAAACTCAGTAGCACCTAGGCCCTGAGTGCAAGTGCCAGTAGTGGCACAAAAAACCCATTGGGCTGGAGGCATGGCTCAGCTGGTAGAGCACCAGCCAAAGTGAAAGCATTTTTACTGAGTTTGAGTCCTGGTCTTGAATGGAAGAAAAAGAAAACACAAAAGGAAACAGTTATTGAGGAGTGCTGCTTTTCATCCTTATCTGAGGCTGGTTTTCTTGTCTTAGAAGTGGGTCTTATAGAAACATGTTTAAATAAGAGAATACAGAGCTCATACTGAACCAGTATTTAGGACTCCATTATGTTGTAGTGGGAGCCCGATGATATAAATGTCACCATGTGAATATACATTTTTCCAGAAAGACCATCCTGTGGCTTTAGTCTTAATTCTTTCAAAGATTAAGAACCACTGAAAACTAATTTCTTCTCAAGTTATCTGAGCACTATCAATCATTTCTCCTAATACAGAAGGGAATAACCCCATCTGAGTTAGTACTTCTTTAAAGTTAGTTAAGTGATGCATCTAAATAAGCAATTTTGGATTGGAGGCATAACTCAAGTGGTAGAGTGTGAGTAAGAAAGTTCAGTGAGAATATGATGCCCTAAGTTCAAACCCTTGTAATGGCATAATATATGGAGAAGAAGGGGGGAAGCTGGGCCCTGGTGGGCTCTTGCTTATAATCTTAGCTACTCAGGAGGCTGAGATTTAAGAATTGAGCTTCTTTTTTTGGGGGGGTCCGGTCGTGGGGCCTGAACTCTGGGCCTGGGCGCTGTCCCTCAGCTCTTCAGCT